TATTCTCCCTGCCCTGTTCCTGTCCTCCACTCCCATGGCTGGACCCCAGCCAGACTCCTTCATGAGCAGAATCCTTAGATGTGCCCATCAGACCCCCAGCGAGCCTCCAGCACAGAGCTGCGTGCCTGTGGCATGTCTTTGCTTTGGACCACAAGAGCAGCTTCAACCCCAGGCTCTTCCAAGGGGGGTGGGGGGTGGGTGTCAGTTGGGGACTGAAAAGGTTGAGTTGATAAACCGGCCTCTCATGAAGTGGGGTGGGTGGTCCAGGTGACGATGGAGGTGTCCTGTGAGCTTAGTTACCAGGGGGCTCTCAGGTCACCATGAAGATGAGACTAGGGTCGTGGGACAACCACAGTGACAGCCAGGGGTGGTGGTCGGGAAGCCAGAGGCAAGGGTAAGGAGATGGGCATCTGTGGCGGCCTCTGGGACTGACTGCAGAGAAGAGGGGATGGCCCTGCTGACGGCAGTGGCTGGCAACCTGAGAAGGTGGATCTGATACCTGGGGTTGATGAAGCAGAGCTGTTGCGGAGGAGGTGCCCATGGTCATGAAGCCATGTCTCCTGAACAGTGAAGCCGGACCCTCCAGAAAATGTGGTGGCCCGCCCGGTGCCCAGCAACCCTCGCCGGTTGGAGGTGACATGGCAGACCCCCTCAACCTGGCCCGACCCTGAGTCCTTCCCTCTTAAGTTCTTTCTGCGCTACCGACCCCTCATCCTGGACCAGTGGCAGCATGTGAGTGCCCTGCCCAGCTCTGGGGCCGGAGTCAGAGCCTCCCAGAGGCCTGGGGGGTGGGGGTGGTGGTGTCTAGCTCCTGGGTAAAGCATCTCCAATGTAGGCCTGAGGGTCAAGGGGCAGAGGGGTGGGCTTTCTGGGAGGGGAGGCCAGAGGCCAGAGGTGGGCCTGGGGGATGGACGGAGACAAGGGAGATGCCCCTGACTTGGAGTCCTTAAGGGTTCCCAGTGGCTCCCGTCCATGCAGTGGGAGCAGGTGTGTGGGGGCGGGCGCGCTAGGGTTGTGTAAACTGCAGAGAGGTGGCAGGGTGGGCACTGTTACCCTTTCCTTCCTTCTCCTCGCTGGCCCTGACCAGCCATCCTACTTTCTAGATGCCAGGCCTATGTTGGACCCCCAGAGTGGGACAGTTCCAGTCTCCAAGGACTCACAGCTACGCTCAAGGGGTCTGGGGCAGGCAGTAGGTCAAGCCTGGTCTCGGGTGTGGATTAGGTCCCAGCCAACATCAGGATTCCTGAGTCAGGCCAGGTTTCGGGATCTGCTTAAGGTTAACAGGGATGGAGGTGACCTAGGCAGAGAAGCAAGCTGCAGGCAAGGGGACGGGCTGATCTGGGGTGCAGACTGAGCCTCAGTAGGTAGGTCCAACGGACTGGCAGGCAGGGTTTGGGCTAACTGGAGCTCTCCCACCCAGAACTCCATGTGGCCATGAGTCTGTGGCCGGGATGGGAGCTGGGAGAATGCTCCAGGAGGCTACCCAGAGGCTCCATGTATGCCCCCCAAGGCTCCAGCCCATCTCCTCATGCCCTTCTCCCATCTGGCCTTTAAAGCCTGTAATTCGATTCCTGGACGTCTGTCCAGGGGTTTTGGGCCTGGCCCCCACAAAGGCTGCTCACACGCTCACATGTTCCCCGACAGAGTCCGGAGTCCCGCCCACCTGGCCAGCTGCCTGCGCCTAATGCATCGCTAATAACCAGGGTCTAGTTTCACAAGTCCCCTCCCCCGCTAACGAGCTACAGGCAGCAGCCCCGCGCGTCGCGGTGCACACGCCTTGCAGTGGACCTGGCACGCCGCCCACCGCACACACAGAACATGCACGTGTGCGCACACACACGTGGCCCCCAGCAGGGACCGTGCACACACATGCGTGTGACAAACATGCCATGACGGTGCGCTGGCCCGAGCAACTTGGGCAGATGACCCCACCCATGGTCAGAGGGGTGCGTGGCTCTGTGTTGAGAGCATACACGGTCCTTGGCACGGCCACGCCCTGCCCATGTCCCCTGGGCAAGGTGGGTGGTTCCTCTGAGTTTTAGTCTTTCTCTGAAGGGAAGCCACTCCCGTTGCTGTCGGCCTCAGGGAGAAGCAGGTGTAGAGCGTGAGAGCTGGTGCAGCTAGGGGAGCAGAGAAAACGCCGCTTGGGGTTCCGGAGATCAGTGTGCAGGCCAGGAACCATCTAAGAGGGGCACTGGGGCATCTGGCGCAGACGAGGGAGAGGGGTTTCCTGGGACCCGGCATGGGCTCCCTGCGGCAGCAGACAGGGTTGGGGACCCGGAGGTGGACTGCAGCCTTCAAGGAGTCCCTGCTGATGAAAGAGCCGGCCATTCCCATCAGGTTGTGCATGAAGGGGTTGGTGGCAACCTAGCAAGAAGGGTCCAGGCCTAGAGGCGGCTGCCAGGAGAGCCTTGCCCCCAGAGGGATGGCCCACTAGTGAGGTGACGAGTCCATCTGCTCCCCAAGCCTCGCTCCTTGAGGGAGAGACAGATGGTGGAGGTCTGGGGACAGGTGGGGGGTTGAGGGGCCCGGCAAATCCTGGCCAGAGGGCAAAGGAGCCAGAGGAGAAGCTGGGCCTCCACAGCTTGAGCGTCTTTGAGAGACATCGGGGCTCCCAGGACCCCAGGTGGAGCCGGGGACCCATGTCCAGGAGAGGAGGATCTTTGGAGCCCACCAGTGCTGGGAGTGGTCTTGCTGAGCCCAGAGCTTGGCTCCCAATGACCGTGCCTCTCACCCTGACCCTGACCTCCATTGGAGCCTCCCTCCACTAAGCCGGGCAGCAGCTTAGTGGACCTTGGAAGCAGGGCTTGGGTCACACTGCATCCTTCAGAACACACAGACACAGATACGTGCACATGTGTGCTCCCAGCCCGGATGGTCAGGTAGCCCAGACCCCACTTTTCTTGGGGTGGGGGTGGGGGATGGGAGGAGAGATTAGAACAAGGGCCAAAAAATCCCTAAAGCCAGACAGGGCCCAGAGCAGCCCCTTCTCCGCCTCCACCGGCTGCCCCTGTTTACGAGGCGCTTAATGAGGCCGCGGGTGCCGCTGAGGTGAACCAGAGCCCAGCCTGGGCCTGGGCTGGGCGCCGGACAGGCAGGCTGGCGGGGAGGGGTGAGGGGAGACCAACAGGATGCATCGGCCAGGGTGGGAGGGGAGGGATGTCTCCAGGAGGAGGTGGACCAGCTGTCCTGCTGGCCCCCACCCCCATTTCTACCTCAGGCGCACTGAGGCCTTCCTATGGAGGTGGGCCCACTCTGGTCAGGTTGGTGGGTGCTGTGGGCACCCGGGATCCCTGGCTTGGAGCTGGACCCCAGGAAAACCATGGGGTGGGCTGTAGTCTGATTGGCGCTTCCCATGAGGGTAGTGCTCCCTGCAACCCCCTGAGAGAAATAGGGCCACTAACGCCATTTCCTGATGAGGACTTGGAAGTAACCTGGTCACCCAGCTGATACGGGATGACCCTGTCCTCTCCTCACTAAACTTCTTGGGGGGAGGGAGGAGGGTGTCAGCATGACACCATTTCCTCTCACCCTGCTCCTCCTGTCACCCCCAGGCTGGGACTGAGGCTAGCAATCAGGCTGGTGGGGAGCTGGGACCCTGTGTTTCCATCGATACTGAGCATTGGGGTCTTTACTTCACCCTCCCTCACCCCCGGGGGAGGGGGGGCAGGGACTATTCACACCATCCCCTCCCCCAGAAAAGTTCTCCTCCACCCGGAAAAGCCTCCACTCTCTTCCTCCTCGAGGGAGCCTCTCCCCTGAACCACCGCCCCCACACCCTTGTCTTTGCGCCCGGGCCTGGCTGCAGGTGGAGCTGTCTGATGGCACAGCGCACACCATCACGGACGCCTACGCCGGGAAGGAGTACATCATCCAGGTGGCAGCCAAGGACAACGAGATCGGGACGTGGAGTGACTGGAGCGTGGCTGCCCACGCCACCCCCTGGACCGAGGAACCCAGACACCTCACTACGGAGGCTCAGGCCCCGGGTGAGCCCGCCATCTCCGTGCACCGGTGGCTCCCTACTGGTCCCACCCCCACCTGGCCTATCAGTCCATCTGTCCAGCTGCGGTCCCTGCTGCTGCTGTCTGTCGGGTGGGCTGGCATGGAGTGGCATGCACTGAGAGCCTGGGCAGGCAGGGGCTGAGTGATAGGGGTGGGGGCAGGGCTGGGCTGAGCAGGAAGGAGGAGCCGGGGACCTCCAGAGGGAGGACCCCAGCCCCAGCTCTGCCCTGAGTCTCCCCCCTGCTCCCCAGAGACCACGACCAGCACCACCAGCTCACTGGCACCCCCTCCCACCACGAAGATCTGTGACCCCAGTGACCTGGGCAGCGGTGGCGGAGGGCCCTTGGCACCCCTCTTGGTCAGTGTCCCTGTCACATTGGCCCTGGCTGCCGCTGCTGCTACTGCGAGCAATCTGATCTGGTGAGTTGGGTGAGCCTGGGTGGCAGAGGGGTGCTTGAGGGACGCACCCCACCCCCATCCCTCACCACCCCTGGCCTGTCTCCCCAGAGCCCAGACCTTGTGTGGACATGACAGAGCGGAGAACGGAGAACGTGCAGAGGAGCAGAAGCTGAGCAAGCCCGCAGAGCCGGCTTCTATTTTGCACACAGGCAGGAGGGCCTTTTGCATTCTCCTCAGACACAATTTGTAGAGATACCCCCCTCCCCCAGGCGGCCTGGGCCTGCCGCCCCCAGCCCCGCCACACCACTCCGGCCCTCTTCCCTCCCTTAGGGGGAGGAGGGCCATGCAGCTAACCCACCCACCAAAGACCCCCTTCCCACCCTCACCCTGTCCTCCCGGGCTGGACCCTCCAACGCCAGCGACTCCCAGAGCCCTTGGGAGGCCCGAGGGGAGCCCCTCACACCCACGGTTTTCCCCGCCCCAGCCTCCTGTCTGTCGCAGGGTCTGTTTCCACCATCAGATTATAAGCTCCTGACACTGGGGGGGCCCAGCCATTCCCCTCCCCCCAGCGCCCACACTTTTCAATCACCCCCACCTTGGTCCCTGTTTTGTACAACCCTCCCCTAGCCCCTATTCCAACCCTACAGTATTTAATGCCCTGCCCTGTCAGTCCCCTCTAGTCCAATTGACTCAATGGTAACTTGCTGTATTTGAATTTTTTTATAGGTGTATATACAGGGGTGGGAGGGGGGGTTCTCATTAAAGGTCACCATTTCACGAGTCCTTGGATCAGGTCCTCTTTGGGAGGGTCAGCCTCTCCCCAGGAGCCCCTCTCCTTCCAGAGGGAGGCAAGCAATCAGGGGGCAACCCTCAGGCAGCTGTGGGCAGCGGGGAGTCTTTGCTTCTGGGGGGTAAGGCTTCCCTGGAGCTTGGTCCAACAGTCCCTCATAGACCAGGGCCACAGAGACCCCAGAGCACAGGGTTGTGACTGAGGGACAGTGTGAAGAAGGAGAGGTCCCAGGGGCAGGCCCTGCAGAGCTGCCTGGGTCCTGAGTGCTCCAGGCAAAGACTGTAGAGGGTGAGGAGGCCAGGCCTCATCTCATCTGGGGTGGGGCCTGCAGTGGGGCGCTCAGCCAGACCAGGGCTCAGAGAATGGTGCCCTGGGCAGGGAGGGAGCATACCTGAAGGGGGAAACCACTTGGAGCATGGTTGGGGATCTGATAGGACGGGCAGTCCAGAGGGCAGCTAGGACTCTTGTTAGGTAGGTGGGGCCGGGCTGTGGCTCCACACTCTGCCTGTCCTCCCTGTTCCCAAACTAGGGGCCCCAGGTTCCCTTTGGGTCACCTCCACAAGGGGCCCTTAGGCTGCCCAAGTCTGCTCAGGTCTGGCACTCCCAGTAGCCACCCCACGAAGGTCCTTTCTCTGGGAATGCCTAGGTTTGGGTCAAGCCAGTAGTCACCACTGGCCAGGGTGAGGGGTGGGGGTGGGGGTGAGGTACACCATGCCTACAGCCCTCTGGATGCCCCGCACAGCCTTCTCAGCTTGGTTGACCGAAAACAGACGCCCCTCCCAGCCTCCCTGCCTGGGGAAAGGGAAAGGGCCATGTGTTCAAACTTGGGTGAAGCAGGCCGGGATGGAGAGGCTTGCAGGGGAAGCCTGGCTTTCCTCCCGGCCAGGTGGGAGCCATGTAGCGGAGAGCAAAGGCTTGGCACCAGGGTGGAGGGTCCCCAAGCCAAACAGCCCTTGTCATGCAGCGCGGAGCTGGTCCTTCCAGGATGAACGTCTTGAGAGGTGGCCTGGAATTTCCTCTCCATCTACCTCCAGTCCATTCCACTAATCCCTGGAAGCCAGGGCCCAAGCTTGAACCTGCCACCTCTCTGGCCAAGCACACTATGCCTGGAAGGTGCCTCCCCACTTCTTTGTCTTTGGTGGGTGGTGAGTGGGAGCTAGGAGTTCTCTAACCGGGGCTTTCTTCCTGCCTTGAGAGCCTGGGTCAGCCCTGACCCACCCACCGCCCACCCAGGCGTGGGCATCCACAATCTGGCCTCCATTAGCAGCATGGGAAAGCAATTATGGGGCCTGAGGAGGAGGAGGGGGCAGAAGGAGGGGAGGGGGCCTGCTGGAGTCTCCCAGGCCGATGGAGAGGACTGGGGCATCTCCCTGCCCCCGGCCCCTGGAGACCAGCAGACCCAGCCCTGTCTCAAGCTGGAGCTGGGTATTATGCTTCTAATTGGACTGGGCCTGAGGGTGGTCATCCCTCCTTGGGGATGCCCTGGCCACTCGACCTTGCAGACTCTTCGCCTTGGAGAGTCTTGGCTGCAGTCTACACTGCCCCCTTGAGTACTGTCCCTCTACATCTGTTACTTCCCTCGGTGGTTCTAGGGAGCCAGGGATAAGTACAGACATCAATTCTTGGAGCTAAGACAGAACCCAGAGAATGAAAACTCTGCTGGGGGCTGGGGGAAGGCCCAGGACATACAGTGGCCCAAGTTTTCTGCCCTCCAGTTCTCTCTGCACCCCTGAGGTACACTGAGATTGGGGGACCCCACACACGTTCTAGCCTGCCCGCTCTCTGCCCACCTGATCTTCCAGTGCGGCTCCACTTCATTCCCACCACATAGGACGTGCCTCCGCCCCAGCCTCCTCCTCTTGCTGTCCCTGTGCCCGGCTTTGGCTGTCTGCCTCTCTCTTCCCAACTCTGTCTGTGGTCACTGTCTTTGTGTTCCTACCCCACCATCTCCACATCGCCTGTCTTCCGTCGCTGTCCCCACTTTGTCTTCCCCCACCTCGCTGTCTGCGTGTCTCCACGCTCATCTCTTTGTCATTGTCTCGCCTCCAGCTTTCTGTCCCAACTCTCAGCTCTTCCCTCTCTCTGCTCCCCTGGCCCAGACCCTGGCCTGTGGCCTCCGCCCTGAGCAGGGGGCTGCCCTGGCTTCTGCTGCCCCCTCTCGGCCACCTGCCTGCCCTTCATCCCTACACCCAGGCCTGCCTCTCCCACCAGTCTGTGCTCTCTGCAGCTAGTCCAGCAGGAGTGCACTAGCACACGCACCCTGGGATAGTTCATTCTTGTCCGCCCGGAAAGAACCGAATGGAATGCTTGTTCCAGACCCTACCTGTGCCCTGTACCTGGGTGACTGTGTCCTGAGGCCCACGTGTTCCTTTTGCCCACAGCCTGGAGCTCCTGGGCCTGATGCCTGGGGGCCAGGCAAACCAAGAAAAGAAAGCCGGATCCTGGCCATTGAGTGGATTCCAACTCACAGTGACCCTGTAGGGCGGGGTAGAACTGCCCCTGCCGGGCTCCGAGACTACTGTATGGGAATAGAAAGCCCCATCTTTCTCCTGAGGAGCAGCTGGTGGTTTTGAACTGCCGACCTTGCAACCCAGCAGGTAACCAGGAGAGGTTCTGATCCTTCCCCCTTCCCCCTCAGGACATGGGTAGGGACAGTGGATCCGGGAGACTAGCTCTAGAAGAAAGGCTGAAGGGGATTTTGTCCGAGAGGACCACTTGGGCGGAGGAGACCCATCAGAAGGTGGGTGGATCTGTGGCCACCTCATGGGACTCTTTGTCAGAAGGGAGGCTGCTCTGGGCCATACTTCTGAAGAGACCTATTTGGAAGTGACAGTCTGATCTAGTGTCTGGAGGGACCTTTCCCATGCGGAGCCCTGCGCGAGGGAGACCTGTGAAGGCCTGTGGCTCTGGGAGTAAGGTGATCCTCTACCTAGTTTGCCTGGGACGTTCGCTGCAGACTTTAGCACGGAGTGTCGCCTCAGAAACCCCTGGGTCCCAGGTGCACGGGGGCAGCAGTTACCCTCACGTGGAAAACCTTACCTGACAGGGCCATCATCAGGAAAGAACTTCTAGGCCAGAATCTGGGGGTGGGGGTGGGGAGTGGGACAAGGGCCAGGTCAGGCAGGGTGGGTGGGTGGGTGGTTAGGGTCCTTCCCGAAGGGAGTGGCCACCAGGGGGCAGGGCAGGCTCTCGGGAGATTCGCAGGCAAAGGGCTCAGAAAGGGGCCAGCAGGGTGGAGCTCGCCGGTGTGACTGTGTGCCGGCGGGGGCCACCCCCCCTCCCACTGCAATCTGTGCTTTTACATCTGCGTGTGCCGGTGACCCCGTGATGGAGCGGAGGCCTTCCCTCGGGCTGCTGGGAGAACAGCAAAACCCTGGGGCTCACCAGGACAGAGCGGCCGTGGGAGTGAAGCCGCAGAGACAGTGTTCAGGCGGGGTTAAGGAGAGGCGACAACGTCTGCAGGTCCCTACCTGGGCCTGCCCCTGCCTGGTGGAAGAGCCAGGCACAGGTGAGCCCAGCCAGCCTGCACACCTAGACCTGGCTCACCGCCTCTCCGCCTCCTCTCCTTCCACACCCTTCTGCTGACACTCCTGCCACGAGGACGCCTTCCCCCGCGTCCCCATCACCTTTTGTGGCCTTGCCTGGGAAGCCCACGAGGCCCCTCGGGCATTAGTGCGGCCCCGCTCTACCATGGACTGGTCGCTGCATGAGGCCTAGTCCTGGAAGCCCTACCTGGGCCTTGGCCAGGAGAGGGGTGTGAAGGGGGAGGCGTGGGATAGCAGCGCCGGACCTTTGGATCAGGACAGCAGAGCAAGGCTACCACAGAACCCCCCCACCCCCCGGCCTCAAGGAAACCAGCAAGCTCAAAAACAGGCAGGCCGAAAACACTACTACAAATTCACCAAGGCCTACCCAAGAAGTCCTTTTTATAAACCTTCAAGTGTGGGAGCCCAGGAGAGTAACAGAATGAGTGCTATACCTCTGAGTCAGCCCCCAAAGCAGCGTTAAGAAAAGACAGTCAACAAAAAGCCTGAATTCTCATCCTCTGTACTCGGGGGAGTGGCCATTGGGTCCGTAGACAGTCTTGGGGCAAGTCTGGTCAAACTCATAGGTACAAACCCCTCGGTTTCTCCAGGAGACCTCAGCCGAGGCAAGGAGCGCTGGCATGGTTTGGCATCCTACCAGGCACTCGGCCTCGACCGCTGACCATGGTAAACCTGCAGGAAGGGGACACACCTACCCAATGTCCCTGTCCCCTGCACCCCACCTCCTCTGAGAGTGGCCCTGGACTTGGGGCTAGACATTAAATAAAGTCTCAGGACAGCCAGCCCTCAGGTCCCATCAGGGTCCGATGGCTGCCCCAGCGGCCCTAGAAGGGGTGGGAAGAGTTGAAAACCCCAGCCAGCCTTCAAACTGTGCTCCCAGGAGGACATGAGCTGGCCCAGACCGATGGGAAGGGGCTCGTGGGAGACCGACAGCCCGGAGTCAGGAGAGACGGCTGGGAAGCGTGAGCCGGCTGTGGTGAGGAAGAGCAAGGGCAGAGGGAATGGCGGGGCACACAGGCCACAGCCAGGCAGGCAGGCAGGAGAAAGGGGATGTGGGAAAGAGCCAGCGCGTGTGAGAAAACAGACGAAGAACCCAGTCTAGAGGAGGCACCACACCAGGCACCAAGCAGACCCCTGGTCAGGACTCCATAGGAATGTGAAGTCAATACAACGAGGCGACTAGACATCAGAATGAGACGAGAAGGGAGGACGCGGCGCTCAGGGAAAATAACAAGCGCTCTGCAGGACCATCACAGACGTAATACAGAAGCCAGACACAACCAAGGGAAGAAGAGATACGGCCGGAAATCAAAGCAATGGTGTGTAGGGAAGGACTGTGATTCCGAGAGCGGTTGTGGTGGGAAAAGATAAAGATATTAAAGCAATCAAAAGAAAAACCGGGAGGCCGAAGACAAGCTGGCAGAAACATAATTACTGGCAGCCAGGGAAGAGGTTTCGAAATGGAACAGAAAGTGATATTAAGGTGTGAAACCCCAACACCAAACTGATCCTGAAATGAGGCACACTGAGGTTTAAAGTGACACCTCCACCAGACAGGTGGACGGCAGGTAATCGACAGCAAGACACATCCTGGTTTAGTTGCTCAGCGCTAAGGATTGACGAAGGGTGCGTTGGGCACCTGGGCAGAAAGCACAGCTCCCGGGCAGGTGAGGACGTTCAGGCTGAGCGCTCATTATCCACGGTGATGTTCAACACCCGAAGAGAGCGAAGAGCCACCGACCGAGTCCTGGGGATAAAAGGGCGCCTCTCAAAAACAGTCCATGCGGCACGGTGGCCGATCTCAAATTCGGATTCGTGGGGATGCACAGCCGATGAGACCGTCTGGAAAAACGCGTGGCAAAATCCGATCAGCTAAGAGCAGGCCTGGTGGCACAGGAGGTTACACGCTGGGCTGCTCACGGCTGGGCCAGCAGCTGGACACCCCCAGCTGTCTCCGCTCCAGGAAGAGGAGCCTTTCTACCCACTCTTCTCGAGGAGGTGAATTCAGATCAGGTGCAGGAAGGGAGAGCCTTGCTCCAAAGGACTGCAGGTGAACCAGCATGCAACTGGGGGTGGGGGTGGGGGTGGAGGCGGGAGTGGCAGGGCAGGGTGGGACCACCCCTGTGAGTTTCCGAGATGGTAACATTCTCTGGGAATCAGAAGCCTCGTCCTCCTCATTTGGAGCAGGTGGTGATTTTGAACCTCGGACCTTAAGGTTAGTAGCCCAGCAGGAAACTGGGGGGCCCGCCACCAGGGGTCAACTGGCTGCAGACGAGAATGTAAGCATGAGGAATTCTGACCACGTGCAAACATTGGCAACCAAATCCGAGGGGTGGGCAGGAGGGTGGAAGGACTAATTGCATGCCCCCCACACCCCTAGTTCAGAGCCAACAAATTCCTCGCCAGCTGAGACATGGTGGTACAAATACTACCACAACAGCTGGCTCAACAGTGCTTTCCTTGAGGGGGGCCTTGTAGGAATGAGTTGTTTTTCGAAGTGAAGAAAGATTTAGCAGCAGTTCCACCACTCCTCCATGTTTCACCTGAGAGAGGTCTCCTCTTCCCTTTATCCGAGTCAAGTGAAAGTGCATGTTCTACTTTAGGTGAAAACCCCCAAACTCAGCTTCTCCAGTTCGATCCTGCCCTTTTCTCGTTTCCACCTGCCCAGCCTTCTCTCCCCCGCGTCCTCTCCGCTCCCCAAATGCTAATTCTAATCACGGAGTAGATCTTCCTTCGCCTTCTTTTGTCTGATTTATAGGTGATTTAGAAATCATCAGCATGTATCTTTTTTGGCTATTTTTTAAAAGTTTTCCCTTTTTATCGTGGGTAAATCATTGAAATTCTACGCAAGCTCTGATTCCTCCCACCATCGGGGAATAGAAAGAGTCAACTTGGACAGGGGTTTGAGGATTGCGGGGTGAGATGCCAGCCCCCTTCGTGGTGAGCTGGACCCAGAACAACACCAGGAACGAATTGTTGCCAGGACTTGATGCCGGGGTGGATCCAAACCGCCGCCTTCCTGTTCGTAAAGCAGACACACTGACCCAGTGTCCACTCCAATCTGGGGAGGGCTTTTGAGGCTCTCTGTCTTTAAGGGAGCGGAGTGACACATCTTTACCCTGTGGAGTGGCTGGTGAGTCTGACCTGCAGGTCATGTGGTTAGTAGCTCAGTGCTTAAGTGACAGTGCCACCAGGGCTCCTCTCGGGTTAGTTTACAAACAAACAAACAAAATGCACGGCCATCGAGTCCACCCCTACTCCTGGTGGCCCTATGGAGCAGGGGAGAAACTGCCCTTTGGGGTTCCCGAGGCTTTAGATCCTTACAGGAGCAGAAAACTTCATCTTTCCCCCCACTGGGTTTGAACAGCTGACCTCACCCATCAAATGTCCCACCAAGGCCCCTCTGGTTTGTGGCAGAGTGCAAATTGCTTGCACTACCTGGGAAACCTTCAACTGAATAATGGTCTCCCCAAATACGCCTAGCAAATCAAGGCGCTTCCTTATCTAGCAGACAGGGCTTTACAGAGGTGATTAAATTAAGGATATTGAGATAAAGAGATTATCTTGGATTATCTGGGTGAGCCTTACGTAATCAATGCTTCTTATAAGAGGGCAGGAGTAGTCAGCGCAGAGGAGGCAGTGGCTGGCACAATGTCTCTACATCCAAGAATACAGGGGGCCACTCAAAGCTGAAAAAGGCCAGGCAAGAGGTTCTCCCCAGAGAAGCCCCCAGAAGGAGCCAGCCCCACGCTGACATTGTGACTACAGTCCATTCAAAAGGGTTTCAAACTTCTTACCTCCAGAACTGTTGGAGCATAAACCTGGCTTGCTTTAAGCCACTCCACTGGTGGTGCTTTGTTACGGCGGCCCTGGGCACCCACTGCTGCTGTGGTCCCTCCGCCCCAGTAGAACCTCCCCGTTCTCCCGCAGGCTCCTGCTTGTTCCACATTTGATTCAAGCTGCCCCAACGCCTACCCCCACCCTGTCCTGAAGCTGGATGTAGGCTCCTTGGGAGGCATACCTTACAGTCGATCTTGGATGGAGCTCTCTCCACCAGTGCCTCTGGGGAGGCCGGCAGAGGAGGCACGCCTTTGCTGCCCAGTGAATACCAAGAGGCCAGGTGGGCCTCTCGAGATCACCATTTCCCTCTTTCCTGGGTGCTACGACCTCTCCCTCCCCTCCTTCTACCTGCCTCTCTCCTCCAACTCGTCTCTCCACATAAGTACACTTTTCTCCTCTCTAGAAAACGGATCCGTGTCCCTGTCTCTCTCTTCAGTCATTGATCCAAACACTTGCACATACCTGGCGGGCCACTCCATCATTGGCTTATCTCGCCTGTGTGTATGCGGGTGGTGGAGTCTTGGGAAATCCGTGTGTGTTTGGGGTTATGTGGCACGTGTAGTATTACACGTGTGTGCTTCGGGGAGTCGGACGGTGCCTGTGAGGAGGCACGTCGTCATCTGTGTATGTGTGTCTTTCTTGTATGTATGTGTGTTCCTGCTTTGTGGGCTGTGTGGAAGTGTGGCCATGCACAGGGAATTATACCAGGGCTTGAGGAAGGCGGGAGGGGAAGAAGGGGAGAAGGCAGAGCCGCGCGCACTGCTGGTGACCCGGGGAGGCAGTAAGCACAGAGGGGGACATGTGATCACTTGCCTGCAGTCATGCAGCAGTGGTTAGACATGTCAACTGAAGGCACTAGCGGGCCATCTGAGGAGACATGGTGGGCTGCTCACCAAAGGGTCCATGGTTGGGACCCACCAGCTGCTCTGAGTGTGAAAGATGAGGCTTCCTGCTCCTGTGGACACTTACAGCCTCAAACCACAGGGGTGGTTCTGGCCGGTCCAGTTGGGTCACTGTGAGTCGTGGCAGTGAGACGTCTTGTTGGAGGGCATCTAGTTCGCAGTAACGAGCGTGGGCTCTGGGTCCGACGAGCCTAGACTCCCATTGACCCCCTGGACAAATGGATTTCTCTCTACGCGTCTTTCTCCTTAAGTGAAAAGTGGGATAGCAGTACCCACCCACAGGATTTCCCTAAGGATCTAAGGAGATGACACCTATATTGCCAGCACAGAAATGGGCAGAGGTCACCGAGAAAGGAATTCACCTGAGGAGCGGAGGGGAAGAAGGAGAGAGTACAGGCAGCAGAGCCCCCAAAAGATGCTATGGGGGCCGGGGCAGAGAGGCAAGGGAGAAAGAGTGTGCTGGAGTCAGCTGCCGTACAGCCGTGTCGGACTCGCGCCTGGGCAGTATCACTTACTGCTATGGGACCTTAGAAAAGCCTCCTGCTTACCTCGACCCTCAGTCCCCGGATCATTTGGCCTGTTTCACATTCAGGAGAGGATTCTCTGTGACTCATGTAAAGCCCTAATCTAGGTGCTTAATGAGCATTAGTTGTTGTTTGGAGAGGAGGAACAAAGGAGAGAGAGGTTTCATTTAAGAAAAGGAAGATAGAGTTTCAAGACGGGGTCAACAGCCCCGATGCTGCCAAGGCGTCCACAAAGAATGTCCTCGTTAGATGGGACAAAGAGTGACCTTGGTGAACCCGCTTCAGGGGTGGTGAGGGCAGAAGGTGCGGGCAGTGGCTGAAGAGTGGGGCACAAGTGGAAGAGAGGGAGGATGACAGCCTGGCAGGGACTTGGCATCAGGAGGTGGGTACAGGCAATGATAGGGATGCTTGAGAGATGGGAAAGTTGATCACATGACAAGTTTGGCCCTGAGTGCAGCTGGCTCTGTAGCTACCTGTTTCCACCCACCATGGATTGGCTCCGGCCTTAGGACCCTTTGTCCTCTACACAAGGCCCCTCTGTGTCCCTGGGGGCTCCCTGGGACCTGACCTGGGCTACTCAATCCCGCCCCACAGATACTCCAGCCAGGTACCTCCTCTCTCTGCCCTACTTTCTCGTAGGGCTTGGGCAAAGTTGCAATGGTTCATACCTTCTGCCAGGCCCTTGGCTTTTATCCCTGTCCTTGCTGCCAGAAGCAGATGGATATAATAGCATCAAAGCAGGTATCAATTCTATCCTCTCTTCTGATTCCTTCCCACGAGTATTTAAGGATTTTAAAACAACAGCAACAAAACCTTCTTCCAATTCCATAACCTTCAGTAACTATTCTTCTCCTCATTTTTACTGTCAGTCGTCTACTGCATTTACTTCGGACTCCCGCGTGAAACCCCTGGAACCTGGCTTTCACCACATACCCTCTCTCCACATTCCCACGGGAAGTACTTCCTTCTGGCCAAGATCATCAACAACCCCTTTGTTCTAAAGTGCAACGGTCCCTTTCTACCTATAAACGACCAGCACTCTCTTTCACACGTTGGATGTTGACCCCTCCTTCTTGAACCTGTGTTTTCTTGGCATTCTTTCTTTTTCATGGCTTCCCCCAAACGGCATCCTCTGTGTCTTCCTTCTCTATCTTCTTGGTAGTGTGTCTGCACCCCCTCTCCCCCAGCCTCCCAACATTCATAAAAAGATAGTGTGCGTGCCTTCTTTATGTTTCATCTGTATGACAGCATCTTCTGGTCGGAACTGCCTGTCAGTTGTGTGGACAGCATCGTCTGTCCTATAGCACCCCCCCCCCACACACACTCTGACCATGGATCATTGGTACGTGCAATGGCATCTGACCAAAGCCAGGCTGATGAGGTCAAGTTCGTAGGAATTTTGGAACTGAAAGTGAAAAGGATGCGTCAGAGCTGAAACTCCTGTTGGGTGCCTGCGAGCTGTACAGTTTTGAGAGCTGTCAGAGCGGGTTTTATTGACGGTGGACTGGGGAAGCCCTGGACGCTTGCCTGCAGAGGAAGAAGAAAAGGGGGAAGGGGAGGACAGAGGAGTGGAGGAAGAGGGACCAGGCAGAGCCACAGAGAGCGAGCGAGAGCGAGAGCAAAAAGGAGTAGACAAAGGAAGAGGGAAAGTCCTGGGATGTGAAAGTTCCCCCATCCAAGTTCCCAGATCCAATTCCCAAGTTCCTGCCATATTCTTGTTCTATGAGACACTGCATTTTTCTGAAAATAAATCCCCTTTTTGCTTAAGACAGTTCAAGTCAGGTTTCTGACTTGGAACAACGTAGAACTTGGGTGCCAGCATGACGTAGTCTAAATGACAGGCTCTGAGGGAGGGGCAGCCAGATGCCCCCAGCCCCAGCCTAGGAAAACATGGACGCCCTTGTTGTGGGGTAGCAAATTAGTTTGTGGTACATTCCCCCATGGTCTCTGGTATCTCACACCATGTACCTGCTTAAGCTGAAGCACTTGAATGTACTGTGATAAAAAAGGTAACACCACGGATCAGAGGTCATCGAACTTTTTAAACGGGACCAGTTCGCTGCCCCTCAGACCCATTGGAGGGCCGGACTATAGTTTTAAAAAAAACTATGAACAAATTCCTATGCACACTGCACATATCTTATTTTGAAGTAAAAAACCAAAATGGGGCAAAAACACCCAGTGAGCCGCATGAATGTCCTCTGCGGGCCGCATGTGGCCCTCGGGCTGTAGTTTGAGGACCCCTGCCATGGATGGTCTGCAAGTCGGTTGGGGAACCCAGCATTGTGAGTCTAAAGGGACACAGACATTAACAGTCTGGAGCTCAGGCTCCTGGGAGATAGGTGCTTGTGAGCCTCGCAGAAGGCGAGTTATTTGCCGCACTCAGGCCGTGGTGGCATGGCCGGCAATGGGTTGGGTCGCTAATTGCAAGGTCAGCAGTTGGAACCCAGCAGCCACTTCTTGGGGGAAAGATGAGGCTTTCTGCTCCTGTAGAGACGAACAACATTAGAAATCCACAGGAACAGCGCTACTCTGGCTCACAGGATGACTATGAGTTGGAAATGGCTTGATGACAGTGAGTTTGGTTCTGAGAATGCAGAGTCCTGGTGGCATCGTGGGTTGAGCACTGGGCTGTTAGCCAACAGGTCGATAGTTCAACACTGCCCACCACCACCCCGTCTCTCTGTGGGAGAAAGAGAAGGTTGTCCGCTCCCGTATAGATTTGTTGTCTCAGATACACGAAGGAGCAGTTCTACTCTGTCCTACAGGGTAGGACATCCCATTACATTACATCCCGTTCAAGGGCAATGGGCTTGGGTGTTTTGGTAATGTCCGTGCAAGGATCAAGGAAACGGCAATAGGATCCTAGCAACCAAGCCGGAGCTATGCTGGAAGATCCAGAGGAAGGGAGAAGGCCTTCTTTACCTTGCCAAATGGGATGGTGCCTCCCACTGTAAAGCACACCGCTAGGAGGAGGGTGAGGCCAGCACATCATTGCAGATCGGACAAGAGAGGTTCCGACCCTAGCACCCCAGGCTGTGGTTGGCATCAAGCCATGAGGGATTCAAGAGAACAGCCCCCACTGAGCTTGGTCTGGCCCGAGAGATCTTTTGGAAAAGTCTGGAGAGTCAAAGAGCACGATCCTACAAAATTCTGTTTACTGACTCTGGTAGTGGAAATCTCTTGTATTCCTGGTTGCCCATCATTTAGTTCAATCGTTGTTTGGTAGGTAAACATTCCCATTTTAAAATGGGCTTGGCTCAGGACAAACGTCAGAACTCAAGTTCCCAGCACCCCAAGCAGCTTGGTTATAGGCATAGATCACCCACGTGAGACCCATGTGGAAGTGGGCAGCAGGCGAGAGGCAAGCACTACTAGGCTCACTGATGCAGCGTTTCAGGTTCTCCTTTCCGTCAGGGCACCAGACCCTCCTTAGCCTTCCCTTGGCCCTTGACATAGGTGCAGCCGACGGGCGTGCTTGCAGCGGTGCCGTTTGAGCAGAAGTATTCCACAGCCAGTGTTTCTCCTTGCTCCTTTCTCCTGCTACAGTCAACCTGGAAGGCTCCTGTCAAGAGGGAGGCATCAGTGACTACGGCGAGCAAGACCCCTCCTCCTGGCCCAGGCCAGGCTGCAGCAGGAGTGAAACGCCATCCCTGTTGCTATGAGCCAGGAAGATGACGGCTTTCTTTGACAGTCTGTGCTGCTTAGCTCCTCCTGACTGAGAGGAAGGGAGCAGGTTGGGCATGGGCTTCAATTTCTGATGTGATTGACAGTGATATAAATGTCCCACTTTTAGAGGTGGTAGTGGCAGCCCTGGTGGCACAGGGATTATGCATTGGCCTGCTAATCACTAGGCCTGAGGTTCAAAAACCACCAGCTGCACCTCGGGAGAAAGACTGGGCTTTTTTACTCCTATAAAGAGTTACAGTCTTGGGAACTCATGGGGGGCGGGGGGCAGTTCTACCCTGCTCTGTAGGGTTGTTATGAGTCAGCATTGGCTTGATGGCAGTGAGTTTGGAGTGGTGGTGGTGGTGCTGTCAGTAAGCATTGAGCTGCTAACCATGAGGTCAGAGGTTCAAGACCACCAGCCACTCCATGGAAGAAAGATGAGGCGGTCTCCTTCCATAGGGATTTACAGCCTCGGATACTCTACCGGATGTTGAGTCAGAATCGACTTGACGGCAGTGGGTTTGGTTTTTCAGTTGGGTTAGTGGCAGCAGGGCCGGTTTTTTAGTGGTTACAATATTTAATTCCTGCCACAGAAGGGCCACCGTAACGTCTAACAATTGACAGTCAAATTGAGCTCATTGTGCTTAGTATTTGAAGTGGCAGCGGCTGTGGTTTCCTGGCTGGGTTGGATGGTTGGTCTGGATGTTGTTTCTAAAAGCCTAGCATCATGTCTATTTCTTCAGCCTGCCTTAACAATTCTGAGCTACAAGTCTTTTCAGAAATCCCTCTCCTGCTTCAGCTATCCAGAATGGATTCCATGCTTTTGTGAAGAGAACCCTGACTGATAAAATGACTGTATTTAGTAAATTTGAGATTTGAACATGTATAAGAAACAAGTTATTTTGTGAACTACTAAGGGAAAGGAACGATTACACTGAGAAATTATTACACACCATTAACTGAAAGACACATTCTGATTTCAGCATTATTTAAATTAGGGGGGGGACAATGTGCCTTAGAATCAATGAAATATGGTATTAGCAAATGAAATTCCCTAAAGGAGATTGACAGGCAGCTGATTATGGTTTTAAGAGATCTGTACCAACTTGGAGGGGGGGGCACGCTCACTTAATCCTCCCTGGTGAAGACCTGTGACTGCACAAACTAGATGCCTACATAATACAGTGGTAAGCTGTAGAATGGTGTAAACCATCTTCTTCGCCACGCGGACCATAAGAGGAGTGGAAAGCAGTTTGAGAGGGGATGGCAACGGCTGGGCCACAGAGGAGGTCGAGAATAAAGAAGTGAATGAGGATGAAGAAATGAATGAGGACTGCAATGAAGAGGAGTCTTGTTGGCCTCGGAATTGCTGAGTTCCAGTTGCTCCTGATGTGCCCTGGCCTTAGGCGTTCAGTGTCTGATCTTAATCTACCTTACAGTCTCTCATATTAAATCATACTTTTGTGATTTAATGACGACGTGGTTCTTTCCTGATAATGCATAAAATGCTTATTGCCAACCTGGATCTCTCTCCGGAACCTCAGACCTGTTTATCCATCTGCCTGTTCCATAGTTCTGTTTGGATGTCCTATTAGCACTGCAGATTCAGCAGATTCCAAATTGAACTCCCCATCCCCCAACTCCCCCTATAACTCACTCTTCTTGGTGCACCATCCAAGAGATCTCTCAGACATTTCCCTCCCTACTAACCCAACCCTCAATATTCTATAGGGTTCTAATTACTACCAGTTGTAACTCCCAAATCTCCTCAGTACTCTCGGCTCCTCTCCCACTCCCCGGCATCATCCCGTCCCTCTTCATTACTCTTTGGCTTCACCTTCAACCCCCTGTAGTCTCCCTTCCACCCAGTGGACCAGGGCATTCTTCTCATGTCTGGGTGGACAAATGGTTCATGTGCTTGGCTACCAGCTGAAGGAGAGAAGCCCTGGTGGGCTTAGAGGGTATGAGTTGGGCTGTGAGCTGCAAAGTCTGAAGTTTGAACCCCCCAGCCACTCCTTGCTCCTGGGGCTTTCTACTCCTGTGAACCGTGAACACCCTTGGAAACGCACAGGGGCTGTCCTGCCCTATCAAGAGTCAGCATCCACGGATGGTAGTGATGGTTGGTTGGCTGAAGATTAGAAGTCTGAGCCCACCCAGTGGTCTCTTGGACTAAAGTTCTAGTGATCCTACTTTGGTGAGGTGGGGGGACAGGTGGGGGGTGCTGGGACAGAAGATACTGAGAACTCAGGCTAAGGGCACTGTCATGGATTGAATTGTGTCTCTCTCCCCACATATCTGTCAACTATGCTGGACCATGATTCTCAAGTGTTTTGGCAGTTATGTAATAATATAATAATCCCCCCATGATAGGAACTGATGTGATCTGCTAATCAGTTGTAAAAGGATTAGGGTGGGTTGTAACATCCTTACTCAGATCACAGCCATGGTCTATGTAAGCAGAGTTTCCCTGGGGAGTGTCCTGTCTCACCTTTTATCTTACAAGAGACAGTAAGACCTTAGTGTTGCCAAGGGAGAAGAGCTGCATCCTTTGGGCCTGGGGTCCCTGTGCCAAGAGCCTCCTAGACCTAGGGAAGAGCTACTGCTAAGACACCTGGAGATCTCCAGGGAACACTGGGCCCACAGATATTGAAAGGAGACAGAGATGGGGGGACGTTTCCCCCAGAGCTGGCACTCAGAATTGAATTCTGCCTTCTGGCTTCCCAGACTATGGGAGAACTGGTTGGTTTGTTGACATCATCCACTTGGAGTCTGGAGGTATCAGAGAACAGAGGGTGGTTTCAAGGCTCGAGTGCTAATACACATCGTTCTGCTGGGGTTTCATTTGCTGAGTGCCAGTTATCCATTTATGAGGGAAGAAATATCTGTCTACTTTGTGCCTTTGTCGTCTGTGTGTTCTGGAAGCAGATAACTTGTATTCTGGATTTCACGAAAGAGTTTTGCACTGGAATGGAACTTGGAGTTGATTTAAGACTCTTAGGATATGGTGCTGGATTTTGTTGTTGTTGTTTGCTTGTTTCAACTCTTTTATTGCAACCTCCTTAACGTACCATCATCCATTCCATTTTCTCCCTGTTTCTTGTTTCCATTTCTCCTTCTCTCCTAACCCTTTGAATTTTGATGTTGGGTAAATGCTGCATTTTTCTCTCATATGGTTGTTCGTTTGTTCTTTAATCATTTTATTAGGGGCTCACACAACTCTCATCACAATCCATACCTACATC